AACCCTTTCTAATCCATCTGTTTAAGTCTCAAATGGTTTCACTGCTCCACTCACTTACTAGCACTGTTGGAATGTTAGTGTTTTATGATTAAAGGATATTGTTGTTCTTTTCATCCATCATCCTAGAGTTTGCTATTAATAATACAGCTCTTTTTTCCCCTTTCAGGCTGCTTCCTTAAAAAGCTGGTTAGATTTTCTGTTACTCTTTATCTTGTTTTTCTTCATTCAAATAGGTTAGTTTCAGAAAATTAAATTAGGAGGGGGAGGGGAGGGAAGACATCCTAGCAAGGCTTCCTCAAAAAGGCTTGCTATTTTCAGTGGTTGAAAAATGAACTGGAGAAAGACAAAGGAAAATTAAGCTACGATGGGAGAGCTGGAAAGATAGAATTGTAATAAGAGATGAAATTGTATAGGATATCTGTGACTGTGGAAGTATGTGTAAATTATTACTTCATATTTACAATAATATCAGAGAGAAGGTTTTTTAGCTTTTTTTGTGGCTACTTTATGTTCTGGGGAAATATCTTTTGGTACTGTTTCTATTAAGCTATGTAACAGTAATGAAAAAAGTGCCTACTGTTCTCCTGTAAAATAGTTAACCTATTTCTGCATGTAACTGCCATTCAAATGCATTTCAGATAAAGTAAAAACCCTTTTTGGCTTTAGTACAAAGCTCCATTCTTAGGAAATAATAAAAACTTAACAGGAGAAAATATTGAGTACTTGAATATTTGTTATAGATGGCTAAATGGGGATCTGATAGAAAAACTCCACATAATGGAATTTATAAATAAAGTTGATATGAAAGGTCTGGGTTAAGCCTTGGTCTTAGGGGACAACTGTCATCTTAGAATGTTCATCTGTAGGACAGGATACCGGTAAAGCAAAGCCCTGAGAACATGCTAGGACACTTCATATTCAATCCACAGCCTTATAAAGAGATGAAAAATGAGCCACGTCCAAAACTCTTACCTCAGCACCCAGTGGCAAAAATAAAATGTAGGCTTGGGATGGGTCTTTTTGAAGCTGATGTTTTAAAAAAAAACAACCCTCTGTAACAGGCCTCTGGTGGTTACAGATATTGATCGTCAGAAAGTAATCTGTTCAGGTTTGGGGGCATGCCAGTACAAATTGTGGAGTACATTCCTTCCTCTCCAAGGACATGTTGAGGTTTTTATATTGTCCATGCTGGCTCACTTGTCAGCTGTCTACCTTATTTGACTTATTTCCCTGCTTGTGGTGGTGGTAAGGATGAATACTTAAATGTATATATTTTTAAAATTAAATATTGTTAATCTAGTATTTTCAGCCTGAGCCAAAGCTTTCCCCCCATTTTTAACCCTCATTTTTCTTCTATAATCATTATTTGATTCCCTCTGGCTGCCTACTACTTATTCGTAGTAGTACCATTCATCCATTGAGACCTTTCCATCTGTCACACAGCTTTGCTTTCTCTCCCCGGAAGCTTTATTCTTCTAGTGTGCCGTGTTTGATTTTTTTTTTGTTTAGTTGCATGCTTGTAGTATTCTTTTTATTATTTTTAGTATTTTAAAACATATTTTAGTATTCATTTAGAATACCATTAGAGAAGACAAAACAAGAACACACAAGATGAATACACCTAACTTCAACTTAAAAAACAAGGGGAAATTTTTAGAAACATCCAGCCAATGTTCCCAATAGAGTAATAAATAAAAAAGAAGAACCAAGCCATAACTTTTGGCCAGGCCTAGCCCTCATTGAAGAACTATTATCACTTTCAAAAGCTTGCCAGTTTAGCTATAGATGATGTCAGAAATTGAAGCATTTTCCATATTTGCCACTAGTGATTATACAAAATAGCTGGAGGGAAATGGATACAATGGGATGCCCAGGCATTTAGGCAGCTAAATAATGTATGTCATTAAAAGTGAGTCTTGTAAAAATCTCTTCCTGACTAAAATGGGAGCTAAATCAGTCCTTACATGTAAAATTAGATTAATAAGCATTATATAGAGGTTGAGCGGGCCTGCCAATGTGGGTGTATGCAAAGAGGGCAACTGCTCTGGGGCTCAGCAATTCAAAGGGGCTCTCAGCCACTGTTGCTGCTACTGTTGTGGTGGCCAAAGCCTCAGGCCCTTTAAATCGCTGCCAGAGTGCCACACGGTATGCTGCAGAGCCCCAGGAAGTATGCTCCCAACAGTTCTGAGGGGAAGGGGTATAGTTCAGGTGATGGTGAGGGCCAGCTGCCCCAGCCCTGCCCCTTCCAGAGTATTGGAGCTGGGGGCTCCCTATCTGTTGGCTCATCTGAGGTTGAGTATGAGAAGTAATTATTTGTTTGGTTCCCTGTGAGTGACATCCTGCCTCCACTAAAGTTCCCATGAAGCCAGAATTTCCTCTCCATGCATCTTATACCTTCTGTATTTGTAACAATTATGATTATTGATTTATATAGTGTTTAAAATGTTGGGGTATATTTCAAAAGAATGTTAGTGTTTGTGAGTGAGCAGATCCGGACATTTTCTCACTCAGCTCTACTAATCTATCTCAGATCTGACTATCAGCCTCACCCCGATGTCCTTGGTAAGAGAATGCCCATCATGAACTGAGGAGTGCTATTGTTATGACTTCAAACATACATAAGGGGGAGAGCTTACCTGGTGTCAATTCAGTGATGTCAAGTGTGCTGTGACAATATATACCAGAGCACAGCACACCTGCCCCCCTTAGTGCTGCCTGGAGCATGGCATTCCAGTGGTGATTTAAATGGCCTGGGGCTCCAGCAGCCACCACTGCAATAGTAGCAGTGGTGGGAGCTGGGAGCCCTGACCCCTTTGAATACCCACACCCTGGGGCAAATAACCCTTATGTTCCCCTATTGGTAGACCTGCATCCAGCCCTTTACACAGACCAGTAAGCCACATTACATCACAGATAATTCCCAATACACACAGAATTAAACATCTTTCTGCACCCTCTCCCCATATTTGCTTTTAGAATTCCACCAAGCCAAGCCTAAAGTGAAAATTGTTGTAGGTGTCCATGATGGTGGTATGGTGGGGGAAATCCTGGTCTAGTTAAAAATACCTCCGTACTTCATCAAAATAGTACACACATATATAAAATGTGTGTGTGTTTTCTGGCTGTACAGGTCATGAGAATTCTATAAATAAATAGGAATAGTTACTTGGTGTATTTACTTGAGTGACAGTACAGAGAGGGGTTCTTCCTTGCTAGTTCTAGGGCAGTTCTCTGACAACTAAGTGGGGAGAGAGTGCAGGTATGCTCATATAGCTGCACCACAGATAACCATATGAATGGCTTTGCAAAACCTTATGTGTAGGGTCCTACAAAATTCATGTCCCATTTTGGTCAATTTCACAATCATAGGATTGTGAAAATCATAACTTTCATAATTTCAGCTATTTAAATCTGAATTTTCATGGTCATGTAATTGTAGGGATCCTGACCCATAAAAAGAATTGTGGAGGGAGGTCATAAGGTTATATTACACTGCAGTGGTCTCCAAACTTTTTAAGCACAAGATCACTTTTTGAATTTAAGTCAGTCCAGGATCTACCTCAAACCCAAATACCCCTGCCCTGCTCCTTCTCCAAGGCCCTGCCCATGCCCCTGCTCCACCTCTTTGCTGAGGCCCCACAATCCTCACTCTGTGAAGATTGGGTACAAGAGAGGGGGACAGAGTGACATCAGCACCCTTTCTGCGTCTGTCTCCCCCACCCTGCACAACAAACAGGAGGCTCCCAGGGCCAGCAGGGCAGTGTGAGGAGGAGCAGCTGAAGTGCCAGCACTTTATAGCCTCCTAGCCAAACCAGTCAGGATCATCTGTCAGAGGTTCCAAGATCTACCAGTAGATCCCGATCTACTGGTTGGTGACCACTGAATTAGAGTGTGTTTGCAGTACTGTTATCCCCACTTCTGCACTGCTGAAGGTGCTGCCTTCAGAGTTGGACAGCTAGAGTGCAACAACTATTGCCAGAGGCAGTGCAGTAGAAAGGATGGCATGGTGTGGTCTGGTCTCCCTTACTTCTGTGTCGCTGCCTGCTTAGCTGGGTTCTCACTCAATAGCTGCCATTCTCTGGCTGCTCAGCTTTGAGGCAGCAGCACGAAATTAAAATTGCCATGATATGGTATTACCACCCTTCTGCACTGCTGCTTGGCAGGGCTTTGCCTTCACAGCTGGGAGTCCAGACAACAGCCACCACTCTCCAGCCACCCAGCTCTGAAGGCAGCACAAAGTAAGGATGGTAATACTTCAGCACCCTTACAATAACTTTTGAGTCAGAATCCCCAGTTCGAAAAACACTGGTCTCCCCATGAAATCTATGTAAGTATTGGATAAAAGCACATAAAAGACCAGATTTCACAGTCTCTGAAGTGTGTTGCTCAGCCATGAATTTAGTAAGATCCTACTTATAGCCAAGTGCTGGTTCTGTTAAAGTCAGGGGATTTCAGATCCAGATCTTGCTTCATCTGAACCCCAAAAGTTTATGCAGGGTTACATAATTGGCTGCAGTTTTGTCTCATCTCTGTTCAAAAGATATGAGTGAAACCTAGGAGATAGTTTAAGTTTGGTAGAAAAGTTCTTATCTTATCTTATCTTATCTTATCTTATCTTATCTTATCTTATCTTATCATTTTCAGATGTTTTTCATTTTTATTTGTATCTGGACTCCCAATTTATCTGGACTTTGAAACTTCAGGGAGAAGAAAGGGTCATTTAAGGGGGACTGAATGGCTTTGATTTTGATCAGTCCCTGAGATCTCATCTGCATTGTGCCTCCCAAGAAAAATTATGTAAGGTCATCCCCATTTCTAATCTTCACACACATTTGTCTGTGTGAACTCTGAAAAGGACTAGTCATGGAGTGCCAGTCATGAAAATATCGTGGTGCTGTGCTGAGCATGGTGGGGCATTTCATTACAACAATGAAATTCACTTATTCCCTCATGTCTGTGAGTGTATCTGTGAGTGAAAACACCAAAGGGCCTGATCTTACCATGGGATCCACGAAGACAGTTGACTTCAATGGAGTTCCGTATGCACAGGGGGTCCACCTTTAAGGATATCAATGGAAATTCAGAATCTGTGGTCAGGGTTCAATATTTGCTTACATGTGCATTTAGTAAAATAAAGATGGCAAAAGATGGAATGTGATTTCTCCTTAAGCTAGAATAGGGGAAATAAACATAGTAGAATATAGCTCTTTCACTGGGTATTGGAGCAGGGGCTGTACATCAAGAAGAGGGGGAGAGGGAGAGGGAGAAGGAGAGAAGGCTTTCAACTTCCATGCGTGTAAAGTTAGCAACTTTAACATACCAAACTAGCAAACAATAATCCAAGAGGACATTGATCTTCATAGGAGCAGACTGGATACAATTAATTCAGTGTTTGATCAAACAGACTTTTATTCAGCAGAGAAAGCGTGGGACTTTTATTCAGAAATATTCTTTCACAAACATATATTATGATGCAAACTGCAATGAAATAAAAGAAAAACACAGCTATAAATTTAGAGATGTCCCCCATCCCATAGTCCTCTAGCAGTGTACCTGGGTAGTACAGTCTGACACTACTCAGGGCACTGATAGGATTTTGTTCTGAAGCCTCTTCCTGTTCCCCCACCCCTGTCCCTCTCACCCTCTCTTCAGGACTCTACTGCCATAGACCAAATGACTAGTGTTAAGTGAATATATTTGACAGGAGTTAAGTCTTTGGGGCTTTGCAATAGTTTTTCCTCATCTTGGCATGTGAAGATTAAGAGTGTTCTTTGACACCAGCAGCAGAGGATGTGAGCACAGCAACTTTCAGGGCATCAGAAGTTTCAGCATAAGGAACAATCAGCAAAAGTAGACTGTGTTGAGGTGATTTTCCCACACTATGTCATGAATTCAGCTGGCTTCTGTTCTTGTGAAATCTGGGCTGCCTCTTTGTTGTTAAATCTGCCTCTTATTTGCTAAATATCACAAATGTGTTCTTTCAGCAACAAAACATGTTCAACCCCTTATTGTAGTAAAATAAAAATATAATCTTTGTACCTGTGTTTGAAATCTAAGTTTACGTAAAAACACACAAGCTTTTCTTACAGGCGAAGACTGTATTTTGGAAGTTCATTTGTTTTTAGAATATCATGCAGTCAATGCCATGTGGAAGAGTTGAAGGCAAAAGGAATGTAGACAAAGGTACCAAAATGGCATATCTAATTTCTGTTGAACTATACAGAATTCCTGTTAGTTGCCATAGACATTAGTGTGTAATTTTTCTGTGTTTGGGTTGATTTTTTTTCTCGTTTGTTTGTTTGTTTGTTTGTTTGTTTTAAAAATCCTAGATAATTCCTTAAAAAAGAGAGAGAGAGATGTTAGTAGAACACTGAAGTTCCATTGTTAAAATTTCAGGACTATTAATATTATTATGGTTACTAATATCTGGACTCCAACAGTCACAATGAGGCTTAGGGCTCCATTGTCGGACACTTTTTGTTCCAGTGAAGTTATCCTGAACCTGCAAACATTTACAAATATGGGAGTTCCTGTAAAGTACTGCTTTTAATTGCATTGATAATTATACAAATCTAAAGGTATGGAATATGTGATCAGTGGGACTATTCAGATATCAAATGTTACTCCTGTGCATAAGTGTTTGCAGGACTGGGGCCTGATTTAAATCAAGATACAACAAATGGGTGACACAAGCAAACAGAATTTTGGATTTTATCAGAAAAAAGCATGTCCTGCATCCTCCAATGTTGGAAAAGGGGCTGCCTTATTTCTCCTCCTTCCCCATTCTGTCTTGGAAGATGTCTTCTTTTCCCCTGCCCCACATATTTCAAGTCAAATAGGGATGGGTTTCAGATTTTAACTCTTAGGATACTCCTACTTTATGTGTTAGAAAAGATTTATCTTTTACCTCTACACCCTCATGGCCCCCAGGTTAAAAAAGGGTGAGGGAGGTAGATTCTTCTCCTCTGTAGCCTAGTTTGATAAAGGTAGGTGGGGGACAATGTGTGTCTCAGGGGGATGTCACCTTATTTCCTGAATCAATGAAGAAGCAACCAAAAACCTAATAATTTTTTCAGGAAACAATAGTTTTTAGAAAGTGCTTATAAACTAGTACTTTTACCCACTTCATACAATTTTTTTTACATGTATAACACTTGTGAATAAATACAAGTGTAATTATTATTGGCCTTTTATACAATGTTCAGCATCTTAAAATGATAACCTAAAGAATGCTGAACCTATACTTTCTATGAATGAAAGTATTCTGAGTAATTTCACTTTAATTCATACACGTCTTGTTGCAGTTTCCTATGTTGATTTTTTTTAAAAGAAAGCTAAATAAACCAAGAAAAACAAGCCACAAACCGAAGCAACATTAACATAGCTATTGACTTGTTATGCATTTCCTTGTTTAGTCAAGGTCAGCAGAGAAATCCTAACAGATTTGATCTCAACATTATGCTGGACTTCTGGAAAAGTGTGCCTGGGTATGGGTAAAAATCATGGGGAAAGATGTCCCAGTGAGCCTAATTTACAATGGTGAATTGCAGCTCTGTTTTCTGGCAAATGACACCAACATGAAGTGCTATTGTAAAACTTTTAGATTTTCTGCTTTAAATTAAATTAAATAGATCATGAGTTTGAATTTACAGTGTGTGTGTGTGTGTGTGTGTGTGTGTGTGAGAGAGAGAGAGAGAGAGAGAGAGATCCCAGAACACCCAATTGCAGTTTTACCAATGACTATATAAAGCATATATACTCATTGGTAAAAACTGTAACTGGGTTTTCTGGGAAAATACATCATTCAGTGCTTCCACACTTCTTTTCTTGAAGTATTTCTTTTGTCTGTCTGCATTACACCAGCATGCAATGACACAGTGTTTCTGCACAGTGGGAGCTGGCAATCTTTGAAGACGCTTGCCAGCATAGCTTTTTAGACTGAAATCATTACAATCTTCAATAGCTACTTGGATTTGAAAAACTAGCACATTATTATTCTCAGGACTATCTGTATGTAAAAAAAGGCTATTTGCTTCTTTTCTTTTCTTTTCTTTTCTTTTCTTTTCTTTTCTTTTCTTTTCTTTTCTTCCCTGGTTACAAGTTTCACTTTTTCCTAACTTTATTTTGTTCAGTTCTTGTTCTCAGTTCTAATTCAGATATCTTGTTCTGTTATGTTATCTTTTGGCATTGTGGATTTTACATTTGGTAATGCAAACTCTCTTCCAGTGGTATCTTTATTTTGGTTGTGCTTTATTGCCTTCATGTTTAAAAAACAAATAAATATAGAAATGCAACATATTTTACAATATCGTATGTCTTATAAGTATTATAAGATACAACAATAATAGATCAATAATATTGCACTATTTTAACTGCAATTGACTTATACAGCTTAAAAAAGAAATAGATCCATTATATCACTTAGAACATATATTTCATTCATTTTCTGATTGTGTAACTAATAGCATGGCTCTGTTCTTTGTGTATTTAAATTTGTGCAAATCAAAAGAACTTTAACGAGAGCCATATTATAGAACATATGGGAAATAAAATATATTGTAATAGATACAAAACATACTGTAAGTTCTATGCTGCTGCTTATCCTGCAAAGAGCTTGGTATTCACTCAGAGGCCATTGAAGCTGATTGGACTCACACATTTAAAGAGGCCCACCCACTTACAGTTCATTGCAAGATCATAGACTATATGCGTAAGTGTGACAGGTCTGATATTCACAGGTGCTGAGTTCTGCAACTCTCAGTGACTTTAGTTGGAGTTTTCTCTGCTCAGTGCCTCTGAAAATCAGGACCACAACTTCTGTACATTTCCTGCATAGAATTAATCAAAATTAGCATGCAATTAATTATTTTGCCCAGACCCTATGTATAATAGGTGTGCCGTTTTATGAGAAAAATGCTTTCCTTACACAGACTGTAGTAATCACTCAATGGGTTTTGAAGTTAGGGACATCTGTTTGTGCACTGATGCTTGCAGTCATGGCTTTTGAATGCTAAACTTACTGCAATTTTCAGAGTATTAGCGTACATTTTTAGTTCTGCATTCTCTGAGGCTAGTCACATATTCTTTAAATAGAAGTTACAACATAAATGCTTCCTTTCAATAGTGATTTTGCACTGTGCTCTCTTTGGATTTAGTTGATCAAAACTCAACATTGACAATAAAAATTATTAGAAAGGTGTAGCATGCTGTCTAGTATAAATCTTTTCTATAGTTAACTATATTTAATTCATGTGTTCCAAAAACTTCAAAATGCCTGTAAAATAACTTTTCTTCTTTTGCTGATAGATAGACTCTAGATTTTGTGCTCTCACATTCAATCTGATGTTTTAGAATTTATATTTAAACTTTGATGGAACAAAGTGCTTTTCAAATTATTTCAATTATTTTTATTGACAAGTTGAACTGGATACATCTTCAAACATTTTAAAATATGCAAAGCTTAGTCAATTTAATTCATATATTACTGTTCCATTTGTTTAGCAAAAGGAACAAACATACATGACAGCTCTTTCAATCCTTGCCTGATTCTCCAAATACTTAAATAGCATAACTTTTCTCATGGGAGTAGTTTCTTGAATTCAATGGGACCTTGACTTCTGTGAGACAAGCCACATGAGAAAAATTACTACTCAGTTTCTTAAGTGTCTGTGGGCAAAACTTCTATTGACTTTAGTGAGTTTTGTCGAGATGAGAGTAAGAAAAGTTTTCTTTTCAGCTCCTCACCCCCATCAGTGGATCTGCAGAGACAAGAAAAGACTGTGAGGTGGAAAGGGTGTGCAGATAGACTTGGTAGCATTCTGTGCACACCCTTTCCACCTCACAGTCTAAGTTTTATGGAGGGTTTTGGGCGGGGGGAGGGGGGAGAGGTTGGTCCATTGTGAATAGTCTGGTGTGACTGAGTGCATTCAGTGGTTATGGTTAGTGGGTCCATGAACCTTGTGGATCAAATAAATTTAGGGAGTGCAGTGTTAAAATACAGACACCTGGCCAACAATGCCATATTTTAATATGACATTTAATGACTTCAGCATGATATTGTAGTGTAGTTCAAATATAATTTTCTTAGCTTTTTAAAAATTAAAGATACTTATCTCTGATGTAGGTATTGAAACAAGTGCAAGTTCACACACAGAGAATATATAAACATATGAAAAGGAGATGGACAAATAAATTAAACTAAATTTGCTGTAGTCAAATTCTAAAGCTGCATTTTGGGAGCACATTTTTGCACCACTGAAGTCAATGGGAATTGGCCCATTGACTTCAGTGGAATCAGGGTTTTATCCATAATTTTTACTAGCTAGGCCCTTCACATCCTGAGAGACTTACCATAGTTTAAAAAAAAATCCTGAGTCAAAGACTCTTTTAATTCACATTAGCTGAATTTCATTTTGGAGGGAGAAAAGTTAATGATTTTGAGGATAGAAGAATCTGAATTCCGCCAATATGTGTGAGAGCTCAGAAGCACCACATAAACCTCAGAAATAAATGAATATGCTGCTAGTTTTACAATACTTCATATTCAAGGATACGCTCAGAGAAAAAGGTCTGGAAAAGGAAAAAGGAGAAATCTACTTTAGGTTATTCTCTAGCTTATTCTATGCAAATTAAGAGACTTAGAAAGACTTCTCTCTCTCCCTATCCATCTGACACCACAGGAGAAAACATTATCTAGCACATTTTACCTGTGATAATCATAGGTAAATACAAGATGAAATTTTTATCTCCTTGGAGAGGAGTATAAGTGTATTCATCCTTATTCAAATACAGGTTGTCAGCTCAAAAATCTGGGGAAATAGTGTGAATGTGGGGAAGTACATTTAATTTTGAAATGGATAACATCATCAAAAGAGAGAATCAGCCAAAAAGTTGGACTTTTTTTTAAAAACTCGGACTGTCAGGTATTTTTCCTCATTGTTGCCTGCAAGAGTAAGTCTGAGGTCCGACACTGGGTTCTAAAAGTACAAAGACATGCCACACAGTTATCTGTCAAACAGAAGCAGTTTATTTCCTGACAGCTATCAGCTGTGCACCTTAACTAAAAGAACAACACATAGGAAAAGCAGCATTTCTTACCTCCCTTCTGCTACCAGGGAATCCATTTCAGCTTCAGATGAAGTGAGAGAGTGTCTCAGCTTCCGAGGTGCTGGCACCCAAAGCCCATTGGTGAGGTCCAAATTGCTGTGCTCTGGTGCAGTTTTAAATACTGTCTCAACCTTGTTTGTGGCAGTTTGGAAATTTCTGGGGGTTACTCATTGCTTGTTACAGTATGGCTCAGCTGTACTTCTTCTTCTTGACTTTGTTTACATGATCAGTACATTTAGGTAAACAAGATTTTCCCACCCTTATCTACAATTTGTTCTTGCTACAATGGTGTATGTTCCTAGAGGCTTGCTTCTGGCTCATCAGTAGGCGGGAGGGAGAAGGGATGGCAAAAGAGGGGGAATGCAGGCCTCACCACCCCTATAATTCACATGTACAAAGATCTTCTGCAATTGACCCCTACACTCATAAGGAGTTATGACTAAGGTTTTCTAGGTACACTGATACTTTAATTGGTAGATTAGCTATTTAGAGCTAGAGTGTATTAAGAAATTAAATAAAAGTGTCTCACTCCTGTGTCATTTTTCTTCTTGTGTTACGCAGAAAGGAGGAAGAAAAACACTAATAGGGCACTTCAACCTCAGTCATATATCGAGTGTTATTCCATATAGCAGAAACCATTTGTTTTCAGATGTTTGGATAGTTTCCCAGAGCATCATAATTAGTGTCTCTGTTTATCTTGCTTCATCAAAACTTGGAATTCGAAGCAATTTCCAATAATTCCGCTTTTAGGTTAGCATGGCAAAATCTATTATTCTAAAGCTACATGCCATTTCCAAACCCAGTCAGTGCTGGGTAAGTACTTTGAATGATGACAGATCAGAGAAGATGGGTCTGAATGCATAATTACAGTAACCGGCTTTTAATATTACGTGATAAAGTTATGCACACGTAAGTAAGAAAACACATTTGATAAAACAAGGTTTTTTAATAGATGGAAATGAACTATAACTAGTTACAAATGCTTGTGAACTTCCTCTCTCTTCCTGAATGTCACTGTTTCAGATTGTCTTGGCAGCCTCATGTATGGTGTTTACTTCACGCATAATGATTTCCTTTCCCCCCGATTCCTTGAACAGTTTTGCCTTTTCAACTAGTTACTGTTACCACCATTTAATAAGAAGGCTTTTTCTTGGCTTTCTAATCGAAAACTTGCTTTTATCTTTCTTCATAAAAGAATTGAAATGGCTTTTTTCAGGTCTCTGTGGCCTCCAGGGAGATAAGGACCCTGCGGTTAACAGGATGAGAGATTTTTGTTTAGAAATTTTTATTTAGACAATGAAAAATGACCTCTGTAAACTCAAAGCTATCTTATTTTGGGGCTTTAGGCTTCTGGCAGATAAATCAATTGGGCCCTTGGGACAGTAAAGGAAAAACCTTTGCAGTAACTATGTCAGGGCAACATAATAGATTTGTTGTGAGGATGCAGTTATGCTGAAGATAGAATACACTTAAAATATATATAATTTTATTTTCTATTAAATATTCAGGATCTACGTATTATGGTTTTTAGTTGCTCTGAGTAAATATTTATTTCTGTGAAATGAACTGGAGAAAGGCCCTGGTTTATTTATTTATTTATTTATCTAGCTATCAAAACAGGGTAGACAACAGTTAAATGTTAAAAATCAAAGTCAAGCATTTATTTATAAAATGTTATGCCCTGTGTTGTTCTTGTGAATAAACATCAGTTCTGAGTGATAGCTATTCTTCATCTTCCAAATACAAGGGCTTCAGACGTGGATCCTTTTTCATAAATGATTTAATTGTTGTCTGGCTCATGCTGTGGCTTCTCTAAAATATGCTTTAGCAGATTTCCATAACAGTTTCACACCTGTATGTAACCCCAAGGAACTTTGCAAGTCCTCACAGCATGAATTTGCACTACATGTTTGCTCTCTAAAGAACAAGTGTTGCACTTTCCGGTGTGTTCTCTACCTGTGTCATGGAGCGTGCAGACGCAGAGTGAAAAGTTATGCAGAAATAAATTGCAGATTTGACAAGGAAGTAAATGAGGAGACAGATGTTTAACTAAAATGCATTGATGTGCAATAGCTAGCAATTTGGTGGGTGTTGAGCAACACAATTAAGAGACACCAGTGAAGACTTTTACATTTTTTTATTTAAAATGAAATTACCATATTAGATTGTGATGCAAAGCAAGGAAAGGGAGATAAACATATGTTGAGGTAACTGACTGCATGAGGCAGGGTTTGCCCAATACACACCAGTCCCAATCCCCTTAGTAGGTGTTGATCCTGACCAGAAAAGTATGTTCCGCTGACTCCCAAAAGCAAGTAACCTATGAACCTGCTTGGACAGAGATATACATGGCTTTCTGGCCAGCAGAGTATCAGTGTATGGTCTTTGGCAGGAACTCTAGGAACAGACAAATGCAGGGACAAGGCTTGAACTAATCTAATACCTAATAATTGTTTTGTATGTTAATAAAGCCAAGCCAAAAAAAGAGGATATGTTTGGACTTTGTATAGTGCATGGATGGTTTGGGAAGAGCTGATTGGGACTGATACCTATCCATGTTCCAATGCACATTGATTTTTCCAGTATTTGGAAGTGGTTCTTCTAAGGAATTCCAGTTATACCTTCCTTTTTTTTAAAAAAAAGGAGAACACCCACTTTGAGAAATTAACCTGAGTCTTATGTTCTCAGTAAGTCTGATTGCTTTGCAATTAAAGCATGTGATAAACTATTGAAAATTGGGCCACATAAGATATTACTGAAAAGTGCATTTAGCATTTCTCATATGGTGACCAGTTCAGTGTTCCCTCTAAGCTGCAAGGCAACACAGCTTCACAGATGATTAATCAGCCCCACCCAGTCAGTCAGCTCCTGCATGGAGCCCTGAGCCTCTAACTGGGCAGGACTGATTAATCACCTGTGAAGCTGTGTTGCCACATAGCTTAGGGAACACAGGCAACCAGTATTGATATTGCAAAAAGTGACTGAGTCACTTTAAGGTGAAAAAAACCTTTAAGAGAATGTCTTTTGTTTTCTCAAAATTGCAAATATTAGGGTGGAAATTCAAAATTAAATTTACACTGTACAAAAAATGCAATCAAGTACTAGGTAACATGGGACTGCACAGTGAAAAGCAAACAGATAATTTTACTTTGTGTCCTGTTCACTGCCAACATTCCATCCTGCACCCCTTTCACTTCTTGTGTGTAAGATGAGAAATATCTGAAGTAAGTTTCCATACTGACTTCAAAAAATGTAAAGCCAGTGAGTTTTCATATTTATTTTGCTGACATAAAGGAACTCTGGGGCATAAACAGAGCTCATGACTTTGGTTTTGTAAATACATGACTGTAATATATAGCAGTGAATTCTTTGCCACTTTATTCGTCTGGCACAATTTTTTGTTCCTGCCTCAAAATGGTTAATAATACAGTGGGCTACAATCTCTGCTGGTGTAACTCTATTGATTTCTGTCCAAAGACCTCAGTTTTTTTAAGCATTAAAGAATTTAGCCTTGCCACATTACACTGAGGGAGACTATTATTAAACATTAATTCAAATAATTTTTATTGCCCTATTTTACAGCGTGTTATGCTTCAACAGAGTGTTGAAATCTTTGATTTTTTGGCAGGACCAAGAGCAGAACCCATCTCTCCAATGTCTCAACCACAAAACCAAGTGCTATGGGATGGAAAGCACAGAAAATATTAGTTTAAGAAATACAGTCCTGGACTGTAAGTGTGCGCCTTTACTCCGGTGCTAGCTAGAAATAAGCTACACAATTTGAGCTATGTCTTTCAAAATAGACCTCTATGTCAACAAATCTCTTAATCCTCGCAGAATGAGGTTTACCGGGATGTTGGAATAGCAAGCCCGTTATTTTGATTGCATTTTGAAATAACGGTCATGCTGTGAAGATGCAGAAAACACTATTTTGGGATACTGGACGTATCCTGAAATAGCGCCCACTGTCTAGACATACTAAGGGACAGAGATCTGAAGAGCCCTGCTCAGGCTTTGTAGATTGACTCTTTTGGAGTCTGAGGGCTGGATTCTCAGTTTTGCTGCTACCCCTCTGGCTGTTTTAAAGAGTTTTTAAGTGGACTAAATTACATTGACACCCACTTTAATGCCCCTTTTCCATATTAAAACAATATAAAGGGACCTTAGTGTAAATCAAAAGCAGGCCTTTGGACTCCATACGAATCAATCTGTAGAGTCTTGCTTATTCTTGGAATTTTGATATAACAACCAAAGAGGGATATTTCGCATAGAGCCCTGTTACTGAAGCTCCAATGATTCCTAGCATTAATCGCTGGTGAGAATATGTCTGCTAAGATGCACTGACCTAGTGACTGCATTAAGCAAAAATAAAAATACAGTGAATAGTGTGAGGGAGACAGCAAATCATTTTCTTGGCAGATTTTATACATAAGCAATGTATACTGTAATAAAAACAGAGTTTTTTTTTTTTTTTTTTCCATCTGAGCGTTTAACTTTCTCATGAAACCTCAGTTTTGTCTGAACTGGGCCCACATGCTGGTTCATGTCCACATAACTCATCCTTTACAGTCATAGACTGATGTGACACAGGATAATAGAAAGTGATGCATTGCCTGAATTTAAAGGAACATGGACTATTTCTGGGCTTGCTGTGCAGTATGAGATCTGTATCAGATTTGAAGCAAAGCTAACCAAGCAGACAGAGCAGTAAGATATCTACAGCTTCTATTAATCAGTATATACTATGTTGTTCTCCCCTACCATCTAATTCTATTTACTTGGTGCATTTTGAAGCTAAGACATATACACAGGTAACCTCAGCAACCACTTAAAGTGTTTCTCACTTAATTGTTCTTGTGTTAATATAATTCTTCTCAGTCTATTTAGCTGTAAATAACTAATATGAATAGATAGTACTAAAAATAGATACACACCTTGGATTTAGTTTTATTTAGGCCTATCAATCAATTAAAACAATCACAATTAAATGCACTGGTAATCAGTAAAATCATAGAATACTAGAACTTGAAGAAATCTCGAGAGATCATCAAGTCCAGTCCTTACAGCA